ATGACAAAAAGTTATTTTATAAACGTGACCTACTGCAGCTTTAACTGACAGCAGAGGGGTGTTGACGTGTTACAGTTTAGGCCTATGATGTCATGATCCTTTACCTTGGTGCTCTGATGTGATTCGGATTAAATCACTGACTGTTGTTTCACAGATGTGTTTTAAGATGTGGCCTCTGACTCCTGGTAAGGGTGGGGCCTTTGACTTGTAGGTGATATCAGAGAGCAGCGAACATGAGTCTCCAATCACACTGCTCAGCTTCTCCCATTGGTCTACGTCCTTACAGAGTGCACACATACACAGGAATAATACACATTTGAGCAAAGAACAGAGGTATAAACAGTCATACATAAACACATACATCTAAGACAACTTTATAAACAAACACATCAACACAAGTACACCCAGAAGAATTACCACCCACGCCAAATAACTATTGGTAATTCGGTAGTTCTACACAGAGCCCTACTTGTAATGAATGGAATTCATAAAAATTGCCAAAAAGTCTAGCAGAGATCTGTGGGTGAAACTAATCAGGCAGACAGACATGGTGTTAAGTACAACTTATTTACAATAAACCAGGGGTGTACTCCATGAAGAAGGATCAATCCACATGTGTAACTATGACCACAAATGCCCTGAAACAAACCTGTCACATGTCAGCCTGTCAACAGGTTAACACAATGTTAAAGGTGGGGAAAGCAATTTCTGGAGAAATCCAATACCATGAAAAATACCACGATATAGTGCCAACAACAACCCAGTGACTAATGTAATTACTGTTAGCTATATTGTGGGTTTGCAAAATGGATGTATTAATAAAGACCTGGATACAGCATTGGAGGCAGGGTTCCATTTATTCCTATGGAAGATGTTCATGGCACATGAAGCCAAAAAGGTTTGATTTCAACCAAGGTTTCTGCTTCCTTATTGTAAGGCCCAAGCAACTTCCACCGGCTGACCCGCTAGCTTCCAGTTTAGCCCTACGCTAAATTGAATAGGGATAAAATTATTTAATCGTGTAGCTCTTTTAGACTTTCCAAATGTTTTCAGACTGAATGGATCAAAATCTGAATGCAGGAGTTGTGAAAATTCAACCAACTTACAACCACTTCTGTCACAATGCAAGCTTATGGGTACAAATATTTTTGGGCCTGTATGCATCAAGTAATGGACACCATTGCTGTACTTACAGGGTGTGGCCACTATGTCAATTTGGGATTCAAATCCTGGAGCTTGGTTAGCAAACTGTGACTAAAGCTAACATGCAGAGAGGACTCACAATTCTCCTGATAGTGTACGTAGCTAACATCACTACAACAGCATATCTTGGCAAACTATGAAGTAAGCTGGATGTCCATGGGCATATTATTTAACGTTTCCTGATACACAAATCCTGTACGATTTAGACCTTCCCTGAATTAGAAAAATGGTTACAAGCTAGTTTTCAGGTTTCAGCTGTCCATAATGGGGTTCAACTGGTATTACAACATTGTGAGCAGAAACATTCTCTTCAATGTTCGGTCCGTACAGACCATTATCAAATTATTCCAAAGAAGACAGCATATTTGTCATAATTTTGTGATACTTGAATACAGTTTGGCTATAATCAAATATTCTACAGTTACCACTGTTATGATTATTAACTTAAATGTCGAGAGAAGTCAGCAAGTGCTGAGAGGCGCACTGACTTAGTGTTGGTTTTGCTCTTTTCATGGGATTTGT